CATTAAAATATATGTATGTTCTATTAATTGGTGATATCTACTGCAGGACATTTCTTACTGATCATAAAGTGGGATTTTGTATCTGCTTTGATGGTCTAAGATAATCTTTCTCATCTAATGTAAAGAAAGATGATGAAATTATTGCAATAAATAACTATCAGCAGCAGGTTGAACAAATGTAATGGAAATATGTTCTATAAAACTGAATAACACTTGAGAGTTTTTATGCTTATCTAAGTCATAAAAACTGCCCCAAATCCAATGTTAGTGAATCCCTTTTTTCAAATTTCTCTGTGTCATTTATTTCATTATTCTGATACATTCTCCACTTATTTTGTTTTTTTATTTAAAGAGGGAAAAAAAGCTTTTAGAGCTTCATTTTAGCTCTTATGGTGCACTGAGAAAATGTCCTCATACACAATTTTATTACCATGGCTCAAAAGAGAAAAAAATAATTAAGTAAAAGAGAAAAAAAAGTTATGTAATCCCTTTGCTCTTGTGTTCCCCTCCCTCTGCTCCGTCCTCCAGCCCACTCACCCTTCTTTGGTCTGCATTCAAACTCTTTGCGTGCTTTGGAGGTCAGAGATTGAACCGTTAACTGTCAGAAAATACGTACACCGCTGCTGAAAGTCTTCAGGCGTGTTGTCTCCTGCTGCTGCATTGCATAAATGTGCACCATTTGGGTAACTGGAACTTGATAGTTAATCTTTCTGATATGCGATCCATTTAATTCACGTAGACAGATGCAGAATCTTATGCCAGTTTAAAATGCTAGAGCATGAAATAAACCTTGTTTTACTAATCAGCACTGCTGATGATAAAATAACCATGTCTGCCAGATGAAGCAAAATTCATAACAGCTGTTTCTACCTCACAACTGATGGCATTTAAAGCAGATTTATTGGTCAGATTGAAAACATTACCATATGGAACATGATATTCTATGTATTCAGACCCCCTAAGCCCATCATAGTATCAACTCACTGCATAAATCTCAAACTAAGTGAAACCATATTTATACCAAACTGCTTTCCTGCTGTTTTTGAACACCTAAGTGTTTAAATCAATTTCACAAATATTTTAAGGGTTCTGCCCTGATTCTTCAGGCTTTCTTTTATGTAGACTATTAAGTTTAGTTTTGTTTTAAGTAATTATAAAGAGTCCCCCAAACTACTTCTGCATTCTTCACTGGGCTCAGGCTGTTCTAAAAAGAATCAAGAGTTTAAGATCTAATTTTCCACCTGTTTCACCCTCCTTTCTTTCCATTTACTAACTCCCTCCACGGGACATTTGATATAAAGGACATAAATATCCACTGCTGACCTTTACCAAGTGGATTGCAGAACAGCAGGTTTTCTTTTCTTTTTTTTTCTGGTAAAATGAAAGTAAATCCAAGAAGCAGATAAGACAAAACCAAAATGAATAGGCGATAAATATAAGAGTAAATTTGACAGAGAAGATTGTGGAAAATCAGAAAAAGGGGAAAATGAAATCTAACCTAAGCTGACCTTTAACATTATAGTTATTCTTTAAGTCCCCAATCAGATAGGAACACTTTCACTTCAAGTTAACCGATAGTACAAGTTCATAATCATTGGTTTTGGTAAAAAAAAAAAAGTATTTGTATTTTGCATAATAGAAAAGCAATTGATCCAAGAATGAGATCATGCATGCTCCATATGCTCCAACTGGAATTTTGAATAAAAAAAAATGAAAACAAGTTTTTTTTTTTTATAAAAAAAAAATGAAAACAAGTTTTTTTTCAGCACTTTAAAATTCCCTTTCTTTGCTTTCTGTAGATTAAGCAAAAATCCATTAATTTCTTCTTTATGGTTTGAATTTCAAAATAAAATATGCAGTTTTCCCAATGAATTCCTTGTGTATATGAAAGGATTTTAAGCCTTATTCATTATTACTATTATTTTAAATGATTTTTAACTGAATCCATTTTCACATTTAACATCTACAGGTTTTGCTTATCTTAATTGGTTTAAAATTTTTTTGAGAAAATCAGTTGATGTCAGTCAGCAGTATAAAAAAAAAGCTTAAGGCACTATTGTTTTCATCTGTCAGTTTGTTTTTAATACAGACAGAGAAAAAAAAACAACTATTCACAGACAAAAATAAAGCAGACCAAATTAACCCAGATCACATTACACTGACAATTAAAGGGGAGGGATGTTCATGTTGTTGTTTTTCCAGTCAGATGTTTTGTTATGTGACCAGTTCTTTCTACACATCCTGTGGCAGACCATGGTGACCAAGCAGACATCAAAAAATGCACAACTGGCAGTGAAAGTTGATCATTTTTAGTCCAGGAATTTAGCGCGAGCTGGTTCTGATGGTTTTAGATCCCATTCAGAAAATGGGATCAAACTTTGAATCTGAATAAATGAACTATCACACATAATTATGCACATTTTATTTTCTCTGGAAGAAGATCTTTAAGCCAAGAGCAGCTAATGTTTACTCAAGGTTTGTCATCTTGGAAAATAATGAGCTCAGAGTTTAGACAGAACCCAGCTTTAAAAACATCATTCTAATATTTCATGTGTCGTTTTTTTTTTTTAATGATTATTCTTACTGTCTGTATTTATTCCCTTTTTTATCATAGTGAAATATTTGTATGGTTAAAAATACAAAATTTTACAATTTTTTGTTATATTAGATGTATGCATAGAAACTGTATAATGAATATGCAGAATTTCAATACTTGCATTGATATTTGTTCAAGATTAATTTATTGAACTTTTATTTTTTAATGGCTTCTTATAGCAGCAGTTTTGAAATATTAGGGTAAAATTTCCAGTTCTGGTGCAGTTTGATCTAGCAGCAGTTTGATCTAGCAGCTGTGTGAGCATATCATGAGGATTGTGGAGCACAGACTTAACATGCAAACCGCCTTTTGTTGCATTCCCCCATTATGGTTAGAGTTCTTCAAATGTTGCCTACATCACTCTGTGACAGGCTGACTAAGGGGGCAGAGGTGAACATTTGGTGTAGTCAGGTGTTGGAGGATCTCTGGAATTTCAGTGAGGAGGACAGGGAATGCAAGGAATGCTGACCATGAGTGAGAATATGAGGGTGGGGTCCCTGCAGGTCTGGAGGTCAGATAAGATGACTTGCACACCAAACCTGATACAACCGTCCAAATTTTTGAATCCATTTTTTTATAATTTGCAAGTTGTCATTTGGGAGATAAAGTAATCATCTACTCTATTGTGAACTTTTAATGTTGATTTTTTAATACTTAAACAGTTACTTAAGAGCTTTAAAGTCTTTTTGAATGCTTTTACAGGAGTTAAAAATGATTCAATGAGGAATTTGCAGCCTGCTTGATGCATATTTGATGGAGCCGACTTTGCAAGTGTAATGACCGTTATGTCATTTGACAGGTTAGGGCAGGTCTTCCAGTCTTCATTCTTCAGCTGAAGTCACACATGCTTTGCATTTAAATACCAGATTGGGTGGCATGTTTGTTTCTAGGGGGATCAACCCGTTTAAATAAATGACAGAAGCAGTGAAGTAGTCTCATTCTGGATAAGCCTCACAATGAGGTCTTCAATTTTGGTAAAGCTAGCTGGGTGGGAACAACTGGCCAGCAACCAAATTCAATGCAGTGATCCAGTTTCACATACAATCAATCTTAGTTTGTTGGTCTCAGAGTAGTTTAGCTAATCATAGCACATTGCAAACTGATCAGGATCAGTTCTAAAGGTTGCAAATATGAGCGTAGTTAGGCGGGTTGGCTCAATTTTGACAAAATTATAATTGAGCTTTTCTTTACTCAGCAGTATTTTCTATAAACTTACTACAACATGTCTCTCATTCCTTTAATTTTACTATTACATTTTAATTTTCCTGCCCCTAATTCTTCTATTTTCAAGTTGTGGGAGTGTTTTTTCCCCCTCACCTGTCCTAGGCTTCTGGGAACAGAGCCTGACTTGTCCATTAGTCATATTAGCACCTCTGCGTGGGGGCTGTGGCTTACTTATCCTCCTGGCTGATGCACACAAAAGGCTTAGAGCAGCCCACTATTGTCCTGCTGTAAGCTGAGGCTGGTCTGGACCAGAAAACACAGTTAGGTCCCAGATCCTCAGATAAAGGCTCTTATAATCTAGGGTGTTTTTTTTTTTTTTTTTTTACACACCAGATTGTTACACATTCAATATTTTCCTTATTTAAGTATGAACTGGGGGAAAAAAAACTGTTATGATTTATTAAAAAACCACTGTCATTGCACCTTTTTACTGTCAGTATTTTTATAAGAATAAAATACAAAATATATTCTGTACTTAGATATGTAATGTGGAGGATGTATAACACCATAATTTGAAACAACCGTTTAAAATGCCAAACTCCTGAATACTTTATCGTAATATTAAAAATAACAAGTTAGAAATGTAAGTAAAATGTAGATAAATGTGGTTTAAGAAATCTTCTTTTAGCACTCTAATACCTTACAAATAAACATAGCAGGTATATTTTGCGTTATTGGAGTGCAAACACGTAATCATAAAAGTTTATTGTCTAATTGTGTAATAAACCAAATTGTCTATAAATTGTAAGGAAACAAGTGACTAATTATAGTCCACAAGTATTTCTTTTTTTTAACAAAAAAACAACTTGTAGAGGTGTTTATATACAATATATATATATTAATTTCATTCACAGTTGGGGGAAAATATTTTCACAGAAGGGAATACATTTAAAAAAAAAGCTTTCCAGTTTTTTGTTTTTTTTTTACTTTTTAGAAAATCCTGATGTTAAAAAAAAATAAAATAAAAGTTTACATGTTCAACAATGTGGTACTTTTTGAGTTTTAAGTTTAAGCTAGGCTACACTATTTTTAGCTGCTAGCTAGCCAGCTAGCTGTCTTTTTTTTTAAACTCCATGGCAGGTAAAGCTTGATATCACTGTTCAACATAAATCAAGTGATTATTTTAATGTATATTGATAATTAATTTTAAATGAATTTGATCATTCTTCTGTTATTTCAGCCTCTGGAGAAAAATGGGCAAATCTCCAGTTTGACCAGTCTGAATGGACACTCAGAGGACAACACACTAGCTGAAGGTTTGTTAATGTTTTTATTTATTTATTTTTTCAATTTAGTGCTTTTTGTTTAGTGTGTTTGCTTTTCATAGCTGTTCTTAAGGCCGTCACGTTAAAAAGTGACAGTGGCTGTGTGTCTGTGTCCTAAGTGGTGGCTGTAGGTAAGCTTGTTTGTGTGGGGTCGGCTTTCAGCCCTGTGTGAGGATTCCTTGTCTGCACATGTCTCCGTGGCTTTCCGTGATCTGGCCCTGATCCTAAACTAATCCGTTTGTCAACACTTGGAGGACACCTACATATACACAAACAGACTCACACATGTTGGCATTCCAACTTATTTTACACATATTTTTCATCCTTAACACGATCAAGTTATCACCTTTAAATGCCTGAAATACTCTCCCATTAAAAACACATTTCCGAGTACAACAACCTCACTTTTTTTAGTGAAAGATTTGAAACATCTGCCTTTGCTTTAGTAAATCTGCGTAAAAGATGACCCGCTTGGTTTGACATGTGCTTCAAACTACTCAGTCCATCTCCTGCTGCACATGGCTATCTTTAAAGCGCCATTTGTTTATTTTTTTTTTCTGTTTCTGTCCTGTCTCCCTCGGTCTGGGAGGGCTGTAGGGGTGTGTATGGCTTCCCTAAATATTTAGCAGGCCTTGACCCGGGCCTCGGACAAAGCAACCTGTGCACTTCATAATCTGTTCTGGCCCAGGGGAAGAAGTAACCCTATACAACTTAAAACACAAAGATATGTCACATACCGTGCTGTCAAACAAACTATTTATTAAACGTTTTAATTAAGTGATTCTGTCTGTGCATGAAGTAACCCAATAGCCTCTTCAGAATAGAGACACAAAGACGAGTGGGGAGTAAAACAGTTGCTTCTTCTTCGTCTTTACCATTGGTAAATCAGTAATGCGGACGGAAACCGAAAGGAAGGAATAAACCTCTATTAAAACCAGGAATACTGAGATTTTCTACCTGCTTAAAGAAATACAATTTTGTAAAAAAGACAAAAAAAAAACGGTTGTTTTGAATAGTAAATACTAAATACACTAACTGGAAACTATTTTAACCAGATAATTATAAAAAACACTAAGGTTCTTTTTAAAAAGAAGGACCTTTATTAGTGAATAAAGATTAGAAAGATGAATATTCTTTGAACCATGCCGACATTTTATATCTTAGTTCATTTCCTTTATTGATTTATCTCTTTTACTGTTATTGCTAACCATTTATTCTTTCATAGCCACCTGGGGTGTTTTACCTGCTTTAACAGCCAATGTTTTCTCTATTCCTCTGCCTACTGTAAGTTAAGAGATTTAGCGAAGTTCATAAAAAAATTACAATCAGGATTGCTCACAGCTAAATTAAAATATTTTATGAGTGAACTTGTCCAGGTGTGATTCAAAAAAACTATATGTGAGAAGTGAATGATAGAAAAATGTCTTCCTTTTTATACTTGACTGTTCTTGTAGCAACTTCCATTTAATTTGCTTAAATATCTGACTTTGAAAACAAAATGTGATAAATAATGGTTGAAGTACTTGAGTGTTTAATAATTTCTTTATAACTATAAAATGGAAGTAAGTGGGTAGAAAAAACGTTTCAGTAGACTTTCATGAGATAAGGAATGAGGAGAGAATTTTTTTCTCTGTGGATACCAAACATTTTGAAAAAATTAAAACCACTCTAAGAAAATGATTTAAAAAAAAAACTATATTTAGAAAATAAATGCTCAAAAAAGCAAAATTTAAAGCCTGGTTCTGCCAGAGGTTTCTTCCCAACTGGGAGTTTTTCCTCTCCACTGTCGCTTCATGCTTACCCAACATGGACAGGTTCTCGTAACCTGTGTTATCCAACTGGACTTCCATCTTCCAGGTCCCTAAGTGAAGCTCTAGTATAAGCTCACACAGTCCACTGGATCTCCCCATAAAGCTCAGCAGACCGTCTCGCTAACCAGCAGACAGTATGCTTCAGACTGACCAACTTCATCTATCTCCACCCCACCACCAGTTGGGGCGCCCTGTTCTTTACTCCTGTTCATGCATATCTATCAAAATTCAGCGCTATGTTTCCCGCCGAGGTCTGAGCCCCAAAGACTAAGTAATTGTATAATACATTTCTTCTAATTGTCTATTCTCTTCCTGTGAGTCTTTCAGATTGAAATGGCGTAACACACTATATCTTGCCCTATACAGTTATTAGGGCAGCCATAGATAAGTTCCATCCATCCATCCATCCATCCATCCATCCATCCATCCATCCATCCATCCATCCATCCATCCATCCATCCATCCATCCATAATATGACAAAATTCCTCCTATTTTTTACGTTTGTGTTTGAGTTAAGTTACAAACCACTCTGGGACAGATGCTAGACACTGCTAGATGTGTGTTTCAAAAGAAACAAGGTTGAAACAAAGAAATGCTACCATCCAGTAAAGCAAGGATAATACTAGGACATAAAAAAGCAAAAAGCAGAAAACAGAAAAGGTTGTGAAAGACCTTCAAGGCCACAGATTGAAGGAATGCAGGGGAGTGAAAGGAAAAGAGATACACAATAGGCAAGGAGGGAAGATAGAGGACTGAAAAATATGGAGGGCTTTCACGACCCACAACGGCTCTCAGGTTCTGTCTGATAAAGACAGCAGCTCATGGAGGAAGGCAGGAAGAGAAGAGGAATCTGCCTGATAACGGCAAAAACAACAAAAGGCAGGCTTCACATCAAAAGGCTGACACAAATGAAAACACACAGCTGTAATCTGCACTCTATCAGCCATACTATGGTGTTTACAGTTGGGGGGGAACAGCCCTGACGTAAAACTCCACTTACCAAAAGCAACACCCTGACAAACAGGTTAAAGGCAGTATCGACTGGGATAGTTAGTTTTTGTAAAGAACCAACTCTGAGCTCCCGTAAAGGCACGTATTTGCAATTTTACCAACTTAAAACTTGCAAACGTTGGTTAATGTGATCATACTCCTTGAAATACATTTTTATGTAAAAACCACAAACTTTAATGTATTAAAATAGATTTTTTCATATTCCAATACAATATTTCATAAAGTAGAATGTACTTGTATTCTTTATTTCTATTTTTTGTGATAGTGAGATTATTGGTATGTCTGTGGGTTTTTTTTATGTGTGGTGTGATGTTATAATATATGTTTTCTCTATATTCAGCAGTGATGTTGAATCAGGCTCACTGTATTTTAATATTTTTGCTGTTTAAAAAATAATAAGATAAAAGCTTTTGTTTCTATCAGTTTTTCACATCCAGAGACTAAATGCTTCTACAATAGTTTTTTTGTAAAACAACTTCGACTCAGCATGGCAAATTTTTTTAACAACAGTTTTAAGATTATTTGATCTAAACCACATTTTTATAACTACATGTTCCTGGGCGCCGTCTTGCTAGAAGGGGAAAGTTTGCCATTTTTTCTTGGTTCAGCTTGTATTATTCTCAATCTGTCCTTCCAACTAAAATAAGTTTCCCTCTTTCTGAATAATTTTTTTTCCTGCAGCATGACGCAGCCACTCCCGTGTTTCAACATGGAGGTGGTTTTTTGAGGGCAGTGTTATGACGAACAGATAGGGTTATGAGTTTTCTTATAACAGCTCCATATTTTTCAACTTTTTTTAATAAAATAAAATGGCATTTATATTTTTAATGTCAACAAAATATGAGGAGAGTTAAAAAACATATATTATATGCATATATTTGCAAGATATAACACGTTTAAGGAATGTACTAGAAAGCCAACGTTTTGAGAGACATTGCAAAAAACATTTTCTTTATAATAAGACAGGCGTTTAAGAAGTAACTGGACTTTACAGTGACATATAGCAAATCAAAATACCCCTTTAGTGCAATGAGTTAACATTCAAAGTCAGCACTGAAGTTGAAAATCAATTTGAAATACTACTGAGCAAACTAGTAGTTTAAAGTGTACTGTTTACAGGAAGACACCACAGATTGGAAGTACATAAATATTGGATGTAGAGTTTGACCAGGCACTGTGAAGAGGGGAGTGCAAGCAAAAAGTAAAAACCCGGAGAGGTATAAATAGAAAAAAGAAAAGCACATAAATGATGTAGCCATTTCTTACATCACCACAAGAGCACCAGACCTGCAAACTAAATCAAAAAAAGATGTAGTACTTCACTGTCTGCCAAGAGAAACCCACTTTTTTCCTCCCTTTCTGTTGTCTTTTTTAATCTAATTTCACTGGTAACAATTAGAACTCTGTGTCGATGTTGACTTTGAGCCTGTGTGTTAACAACATGTCCCCTCAGGTTGCTGGATTTTAGTAGGGAGGGTGTGTACGCAGCTGCAGCTGCATTGGGGACCCAAGGAATGACATCAGATGGGATGTCAATCACTGTGGAGAGTGCTGACCCATCCTTAAGGATAGATCTAAGAGTTTAAAAAAGACATTGTTTGATTTTTTTGGTCACTTCCAATAGAAGATAACATTGACTTGATGGTGTATTAACAGAGGATTGTGTTGATTTGCAATTAAGCTGGACATGAAACTCAGTTAAAATCTATAGAAAATAAAAGGGCGTGGCTCACAGGGGAAAGTTAATGATCTTGGATCAACCCAGATGTTGAAGACAAAGAATGAAGCAAGACTTTTAAAGCATTATGGCCTTAAATGCCTGTTTAAATTGTCAGACAGCTTGTGTTTTTTACTCTATTGGTATAAAATGCTAAATGCATTTGATTTTAAATGCATATCTAGATCTAGATATGTTAAAAAAAACAGCTGGTTTTTGGAATAAAGTGTCCCGATGAGCTGCTAAAATTCAGGTGGTGCCATACCATTAGGACACACAAAGAAAGAAGAAGAACTTGAACTGAACACTGAAAAGAACAGGAAGTCCATGTAGGGTTTTAGAAATACTTAGATAAATGAAAACAAAAATTAAGGAAAAACAACTATAAATCTTTTTTGAGCCAACCAGACACTGGCTCCAGTGAACTAGAGGTATTGTATAGAAATATGGC